AAAACGTGTCTTTCATTGACTACAGTGAAACGCCCGGAAATGACGGATGTTTTGAAAGAAACGGGAAAACTGATAAAATTAAATATTTGCTTTGATAAGTGAAATTAATGAGAAATAACCATAAACTAGTTTTTTTTTTTTGTTTTTTAAAAGCGGTTTGTCTGGTACCAGATTTGTACAATTACTTTCAATCAAACATCGATCGGGTTTTGTTAATTATGACCGAATGTAATTAAAAAGCATTATGTTGACAGCTACAAGGCACATGCTTGCCTTAAGCTGCGAGTATCCCGCCATGTTTTAAACAAAGGGCTTCCGACCAAGCCGGCATTCTAATCCGCCACAAATATGTGAAGCACGCGTCTTTCAAAGTCGCCTAGTACTTAAAATCGGGTCTCTGGCCTGTTATGTTCGTCTACGGCTTCTGGAGTTTATTTCTTAGAGTTTCGTAGTTGGCAACAAATTCAATAGAAACGTTTATAATTGTAAACAACAATCTTTAAAAAGGCTCTAACTTATCACTAATTAAAATATGAGAGAAAATAAACTGACTTGACTGATTGAACGCACTAAGACAACCTTCCTCTTTCGGTTTAAGAAATAAACTGCAGAAGCCGCGTGCTGGTTGCCATCGTTTGGTCTCTAGAAAAAAAAAATCTTAATCAGCTAAAATAAAACTCACACGTCCTAAGACTACTGCAACGTGTATCACTCGTCGTACACAACGCCGTCAGCAGCTGCAAGATTGGCAGGAAGCTTTGTCGCTAATAGGAAAAACTGTTTGAATGCAGAGCTCCGCGCAACGCGTAAATATAACTGACTGGTTCCTAGTTTCTAGTTTGCTATGATGTTGTCATCGACAAAGAGAACATCTTAAGCTCTTCCAGGGAGACAGCATTCGGCCTTAATCCTTGAACCTGAAACGGATAGTAGAGGCGTGGAGCCTGCTGCCTTTAATGTACGTACTGTTGTACCATATTTGGAATGCTATCACAGGATATCCATCCATTATGTATCCATATTTGAAATCTATCAACATATGATGCCCAACCCATCAAAACGCAAGAAATTTTCTAGTGAAATTCCTTGTGAATTTCCAAAGAAAACGTGTTGAAATATCAATTATTTATGAATGCAATATAAAAATAGTGAAAATATGCCAAAAATGTGCTAACTTTGAGAGTGGCTCACTCTCCGAAAAGCTGCTCAGAATCTACAAAGTAGCTCAAAATCGTGCAAGTTGCTAAAAAGTTACCGAGCAGAATCTGTCTAGGCCTAGGTTTAAATTTAGCTTTATTTACACTTAGCGTCAGTAACATCCATAACCCCAATTCCACATCCCGACTCCCTGCCCCACCCTTCCTCCGTACGTGCACAAGCCGTGAGACACAATTCCTTGTTAGCTTGGATGCCAGGAGATTTAGCGGTAAGGCCATTCAACTACTCAGTCCCAAAAGGGTAAATTTGCTTTTAAGCTTACCAGATTTTCTGTTATTACGCAATGAAATTGGAAGAATAGTGTGCTGGGGAATGTTAGAAGAGAGTAGGTAGACATGTTAAAATCTCAGTAATTAGTTACAAGGGCACGATTTTACGCGTTCATCGATCAGTTTCACTGAAATATCTTCGTTTCCCAGATCATCATATCAGAGACAACATTGACACCCTCAACGACACGGGGTACCTAACAAAGTTTTATATGGGGAGTCACTGCCCATATAAACTGGCTTAAGTCATACTTGTCTAATAGAAGCCAAAGGATTGCAGTTCAGTTGGTGACCTTCTAAGAGAAAACGGCGAAATCTCAGTAATTGGGTACAAGGGCACGATTTTACGCATTCATCGATCAGTTTCACTGAAATATCTTCGTTTTCCAGATCAGCATATCAGAGACAACATTGACACCCTAAACGACACGGGGTACCTAACAAAGTTTTATACGGGGAGTCACTGCCCCAGAAATGAACCCATTACCCATTTATATACCATTTATATACAATGGTTTAAGTCATACTTGTCTAATAGAAGTCAAAGGATTGCAGTTCAGGGAACGTTATCTCGACTTTTTTATCTCGATTGTGTCGTTACCCAAGGTTCCTGCCTCGGTCCATTGCTCTACGTCATCTGTGCATCAAAGTTGTTCAACATCATTGAGCGACATCTTCCTGACGCTTACTGCTACGCTGACGATTCTCAGTTATATCTAAGCTTTAGACCAGCTGATGGATTGTCATCTCAGACTGATGCCATTCAAGCAATGGAAAGATGTATAGAGGACATACGGCACTGGATGGTTAGCGATCGTCTATTACTGAATGATGAGAAGACGGAATTTCTGCTAATTGGAACTCGTCAACAACAGAGCAAAGTCGAGCCACTCCCTCTAAGAGTTGGAACAATAGATATTGAACCCGTGAATTGCGTAAGAAATCTTGGTGCTTGGTTTGATTCGATGTTGTCTATGGAAACTCATATCAACATAGTATGTAGTTCTGGATTTTATTATTTGCATAACCTCAGAAGGATTAGAAAATTCCTGTCACAAAACTGTCTAGTAACTCTTATCCATGCGTTTGTCACAAGTCGACTGGACTACTGCAATANGAGAAAACGGCGAAATCTCAGTAATTGGGTACAAGGGCACGATTTTACGCATTCATCGATCAGTTTCACTGAAATATCTTCGTTTTCCAGATCAGCATATCAGAGACAACATTGACACCCTAAACGACACGGGGTACCTAACAAAGTTTTATACGGGGAGTCACTGCCCCAGAAATGAACCCATTACCCATTTATATACCATTTATATACAATGGTTTAAGTCATACTTGTCTAATAGAAGTCAAAGGATTGCAGTTCAGGGAACGTTATCTCGACTTTTTTATCTCGATTGTGTCGTTACCCAAGGTTCCTGCCTCGGTCCATTGCTCTACGTCATCTGTGCATCAAAGTTGTTCAACATCATTGAGCGACATCTTCCTGACGCTTACTGCTACGCTGACGATTCTCAGTTATATCTAAGCTTTAGACCAGCTGATGGATTGTCATCTCAGACTGATGCCATTCAAGCAATGGAAAGATGTATAGAGGACATACGGCACTGGATGGTTAGCGATCGTCTATTACTGAATGATGAGAAGACGGAATTTCTGCTAATTGGAACTCGTCAACAACAGAGCAAAGTCGAGCCACTCCCTCTAAGAGTTGGAACAATAGATATTGAACCCGTGAATTGCGTAAGAAATCTTGGTGCTTGGTTTGATTCGATGTTGTCTATGGAAACTCATATCAACATAGTATGTAGTTCTGGATTTTATTATTTGCATAACCTCAGAAGGATTAGAAAATTCCTGTCACAAAACTGTCTAGTAACTCTTATCCATGCGTTTGTCACAAGTCGACTGGACTACTGCAATAGTCTCATGTATGGCCTCCCGCAGTGTCAAATTTCAAAATTAAAGAGAGTACAGAACGCTGCTGCTCGGATTGCTCTTGACCTTTGTAAATTCTGCCATATAGCTCCTGCACTGCCACAACTTCACTGGCTACCTGTCGTAAAGCGAATTCAATTCAAGATCCTGCATCTCACTTTCAAGGCTATTCACGGTCTCTCTCCTCCCTACATCAGTGAACTTATAACTGTCAAACCCAAATCTACTTACAGTCTCCGCTCAAACTACAGTACTCTGCTGCTACCTCCTACACAGAAAATGCTGCCTACACTTGGTGCTCGCTCCTTTGCTGCTGCTGCCCCTGCGCTTTGGAACATACTGCCTGCTGATATTAGAAATATTGCTTCCTTAAATAGTTTTAAGACATCAATCAAAACCTTTCTTTTTAACGAATCACTTTAAATTTTATTTTTTACTTTTTCTCCATTCAATATTGTTTCTAATTTTATATGAAATTTTTGTAAAGCGCTTTTGATCACATCTGGAAAGAGCGCTATAGAAATTTTTAATTAATTTATTTTATTTAATCATTTTTGACTGAAGAGGTGTACTCTTTCGTGTACTTTCCATTCATAAATGGTGTCCCTTAAAAAGTCGCTTTTCTTTGCATCCCTTCAAACGGCTTTGAATGCACTGTCCCACTCTTCTTAATTTCCTTTTTTTTAAAACTGTATGAATAGATAAAAAACTAAGGTATTTTCTCTACATTTTGTTTTTTAATCTTTCCTTCTGGGTCCTTTTCTCAACCTTTCATATATACTTTTTATATTAAAATCGCTACCCTCCAATATACGTGAAACCTTAGCTACCCCTTGCGGGCGGAGCCAGTTGCCGTATACGCAATTAGAGACCTTAAGATACCCCGATATCGGTGTACGGGTACGGGTAGTGTACCCGTACACGTAAAATGTTCATGTGCGTGACTATTTCGATTAAGATACCCGAAGAATTAACGCGCGGGGATTGGTAAGGATTGTTTACAAAGATGGCGGCTGCGGCGGCGAGGTTGGCTCTTTTTCCTCTGAAATAAGTTGACTGAATTGTTTAATTAAGTCTTTCAAATGTATCCAAAGTTCTTCTTTACGAATGTTCTTTCTTTAGAAAGCACGCCAATGATATGCTTCTTCTTCATTCGTTCGACACTGAGGATGAGGACATCGAAATTCTTCTTGTGGATGCTTTGAGCAAAATTCCGTCTAGTGTTGAGTTGGGTTTTAAAATTGACCTTGAAAGTTTGGACGAGCAAACTTGCATCGACTTGTTTAGGTAACAGCGACTTGGAATTATAGTCGTCAAAACAAAGGTAGGGTATGTATTCGAACTCTCCGAACCTTCCAACTTTTCTTCTCAGGTTTAGCAAACACGATCTTAGAGTGCTGCACGATGCTCTTTCAATACCTGCTGTGTACAAGTGTCCAAATGGAACTGTGGCTAGTGGCTTGGAAGCACTGCTTATCCTGCTACGAAGACTGACATTTCCCAACCGTGTGTGTGATTTGTGTCAGTTGTTTGGAAGACCCGAGGCGGAACTGAGTATGATAATCCATGAGGTGGGGGGGGGGGGGGGGGGGGCGGGATTTTGTTTGGTAAAAAAAAGTTCCCTCCCCCATTACTTTTGTGTTTTTTTCAAACGTTCGGGAGAAAAAAAACAGTTTCAAAATTTTCTCGAAAATTTTAGTTAATTCAAAATCTAAAAAAAAAAAAAAAAAAAAGAGCTAGCGTGGTGATTTAAAACACCCCCCCA